ATAAAACTGATTTTTATCTTGGCACATTTAACATTGAATATAAAGTGATTGGAATAACAGTACATTTCTTAGATTCTAGAATAAATAAAATTTGCTAGTAAAGTGTGAAAAAAGTAGAAAAATGAGTTTTTAAAGACTATCCTTCTATCTGAATACTAATAACTTTAGAATCATCATAAATTAAACCGACATGCTACAGTGTACCCAATTTGAGAATTTTTACCAATGTATAAATCAATGTAATTTTGATTCGAATGTGTGAATTAATATTAATAATTTACTTCGCGTTACGTTTTATGATTACAAAAGATATACATTATGTTTAAACAAGTTTTATTTTGCATTACTTAATAACACGCATAATTTAAATATTTCTAATTTTCTGAATCTAAATTAAATATTCAAAGTCGAATTTTGTTAATCACATGTATATATGGAATCTTATATATAAATTATTGTATATATAAGAAATCTTCGTTATTAAAAATATTTTTAATACAACTTAAAAATTAAACAAAGCCCAGGGCTCTGTTTTACAAATTTTAAACAGATAATTGCACTACAAAAAAAAATACTTCCTTCATATAAATTGAACTTTTCTCTTTATAGCATTGGTTTCAATTGACTATCCATTTGTGAAAAGTGCCTCAATCTTTTAGTGCAATTGATAAAAAAAATCATTCTTTTCATTATTTTTTATAAGAAATCTTTACTACAATTTCTCATAATATTTGAAACAAGTACGTTCCTATTTTTGTTGTACTATAACAATATGTGATTGTCAAATGAAATGAAAATAAAATAGGCGTAATATTTTTCGGGGAGTTCGATAATTTCTATGGAAAAAATGAACCAATCGATTAACACTTTCCTTCTAAAATCGCTTGATTCATCGATCGGCTACCATTCACCGATGCGCATTCCCACAGGTGCATGAGATCAATGTACTCCAAGCAGAAATTCACCGACAATACATACACGGAGATACTGTGGTGAACAGTGAGGAGAAATAACAGAGCGTCTGGACGGATACGAATCTAAGGAGGACAGCAGCCGGCGGCGGTACGTCCACTTTCTCGTCTGCGCTTTTTTTTTTCATTAGGTGAATATGCAAGCCGAAAATTGCAATCACGCATTTCTTTGAATGAAAATTTCTCTCGTGCCACGCAATTCCAAAAGAATTTGAATGGCCAAAGCTTTATTGTAAAGACTTATGTAGGCATGTAGTGGTTTTCTTCTCTTTCTTTTTATGATTCATCTCGCTATTTGAGGTATCTTAATGCAGCCACATCTCAATAATTTTACAGCTGATTGGTTTTGTTAATTTGCCGTAACAATATCTTTTAGAAAGAAGTGAAAGATCAATTACAGAATTATTGGTTACTTAATGTATCAATTACAATGAATAAATTTTGTGTACTCCGTGATAATTATGAATAATGAATATGCTATTTTTTTGTAAAAAGAAATTTTGTAAACAATATTTTTTCTTTTTTGTTCTATTCTTTTAATAAATTATACTTGAATTTAAATTTACTTTTGTACACCAACTTATATTTTCTTTATGTATTTTCACGCATGTAACGTTCAATAAATGAATTTTCCAATTCATTATATGCCTCTTATTAGCCTACAAGGTTGGCTAACAAATATAATTATTTGGTTTACTGCGATATAATAAAAAAATAACAAAAATGTAATGGCAAAACTTGTAAAATTTATGGGTATAAAGGTTCTAATGATAATCTACTATACGCTGTTTCACAGCATTGCCAATTATGGTATTATTGCTTGGAAAGAGGCGTATGGTTATAACTTGAACTACATCCAAAAAACTCATAGCAGATTAATAAAAATTTTACTCAGAAAAGCAAAAAGCTTATTTCTATCACTATCTATTAAAGAGCACTTCATACTAGAAGCAATAATGGAGAACTATAACAATCTAACCAAGGGATATAATATATTCCAAAAAAATAAGCAGACACAAAATCATTATGCCAAGGATACACAGAGTTATTAATCTGCGAAGTGGCTTCTAAAATATTTCAAAAGTTTAACAATAGTATACAAAATTTATAAAATATATAAAAATAGTATAAAAAAGGTAGAGAAATATCATAAAAAATGGATACGGAATAATATAACTGCATTATTGGAGATGGATCTTTTACACAAAAATGGCTTGTTCAAATAAATCACGATTGTGCAATAATTTATATGCTTTTGTTTTGTTTTATTTACTATGAGTTGTCGTTTTGCATATAAGTATCTATATGTGCACCTCTAAGTTTTGCTATCTAGTAAAAATTTGGTGAAATAATAATAATAATAATAATAATAATAATAATAATAATACATAGTTCAAAATTTTTCGCAAGCTGTTACTTATTTATTTTAATACCAACTACTCCTGAAAGAAAAATTATGTCTGTTTTCAATCAAATAATGTAATGTAGTAGATATGAGCATTAGTGTTTTATCATGTTCTTTGTAAATTGTTTAAATTTTTTGCCTATTATGAAAAGTATATTTATTTGTCTCTATAATTCACAAGATTACATATATCTTAGATATGACAAGACATCAAAATTCGTAAAAAATTATGTATAAATTTTTTTAAAATATTGATAACAGTGTTGTAAATATCTTAGCCGATACGACAGCCTCATATTTGTTACACTAAACTAAATAGAGTCCCATGCGTGCATCTTATTTACAACTCGTTTGCTGGAACGAAAAGGTATTATAAATCAAAAGTCGTGTAGTTCGTTCAAACCGCTACATCGGTTATACGATCAACAGAGAAAAAAAAGAACGACGAATCTCGTTGCGCCGAAGATTATTTGCAACGCAAACGCGATAGAAATCCCGTACGATGAGCTCACTTCATCTAACGCAACGGCCAATAAAATTGTGCGTATACACGAAATAATCCGTGCCAGCTCGAACAGTTAGCTCTAAATATTTTTTTAAGAAATCATACATCTTTTTTATTGAGTCAACTGAGGATACAGGCATTTTTATATATTCTAATAAAGAACATAAATTGGATCTATTTGGTGCATTGTACCTATAGCAGATAAGTCGGTCGTAAATAATTTCGCCAGCGTGAATAGAATATAATACTTACACTCTCCTACGTGAGTTTCACCGCATTAAATTTTCAATTTCACTTTCGTTATTCGTATCGATCAATCCGATCGGAATTATCGAATTCGCAGATGGATAAATTATCATCAATGAAGACTATTACCAAACTGTTATTTTTCAGCATTGTTTTAATATTCCATATTAGCAATTAATCTAAGTAAAATTAATAATCCAAAATCGAAAAAATAGCTCACATATATCATAAAAGTGTCACCATCCACGCATCGAGTATGCAACAAGAAATAAGAAAAAAACACAGCATCCAAGCATAGCGCGAGAAAATACCATAAGGCGAGGCTGCCTTGAACTTGGCAACCTGTTGCTGCGGCCTGGTTTACTTATCTTCGCCGCACTCGCGCTCACATATACGCGTACGCACGTACGCACAAGTTCTTTTTTTCGCAAGTAGGCAACTCGGTGGCCTGCATCAGATCGATTTTTCGCGAGCACTTTTCAATAGTAATCGATCGACGCCATGTGTGAAAATTCAGGTTGCTTACCGGATATCTTTTGTTTCCACGCCTCCGCATAGGAAATATGCACATATAACTATGGCTTTTCAATGATCTAGATCGCGTGCTCGCGTGAGCGCAATCTTTGTGATTTTATTTCTTATACGTTTCATTCACGTTTAACTTTTAATGTTTATTAACAAATAAATTATCATGTATGTTTCAAGTTGCTCTATGAATTGAGTTTTGAATAATATAAGAGGATTAGAAAGACGATTAGATAAAGAGAATGTGAATATAACTTATTGTCTTAAATCAGAATTCGTACAAATTTTTATAGAAATATTGAACTTTTATTAGACTGTGATAATTATGACTAGATTAATTACATATAAATAATCTATAGATAACTAGAGTATTCCATATTAATGACGTATTGTATATTACTTGTTCAATCGATGAAAACAAAATTTAAATCTTATAACAGACTTGTGAATTAGGAAGAACGCTTCATTTCCTTTTTTCATGCTCTAGTCAATGTTTGCCTAATCCTAAAAAAAATTTCAGTATTTACACTTGAACAACTTTCAAGATCAAGTAAAAAAATTCATCGTAAAAAAAGCTAAATTTCCAAGTCAGGCTCTAATAAATTCGGCAGGTCATCATCACCGCGTTCCGATAACAAGACGCTTCAAGTAGTTTCCTGTTTTTTTCCATTCGCAACTCTCAGAAGTGCGTTCGAAAGGTATATGGTATTGGAAATAAGCCCCATGATAGTATTGGTTTCAAAGGTGTATCCTTATAATTTATTAGAAATCTATATAAATATACATACACGTGTTCGCAAATCGCCATGAAATGCGATTATTTTGTCTTGTTCTTCTTTTGTTCCTTGTTCGATAGTCAGACACAATGAAAAACAGAAAGAAAGAGAAAAAGAGAATGAGAAGAAAAATGAGTCAAAGACACGAAAAAGAGGATAAGATAAAGAATAGAGTTAACAAATGTTAAGATGAAATTGAACCTTAGTGATGGATAAAATAAATAACGAGAAGATGAAAAGAAAAAGACGAAGAAAAAGAAAGAAAGAGAGAGAGAGAGAGAGAGAGAGAGAGAGAGAGAGAGAGAGAGAGAAATGAGAGTACAAAGACGAAGACCACGGCGACAGAAGAAACACGTCACCGTTTACGAGAACGAACAACAATCAACAACAAGGGTAGGAAAAAAAGGCACTGAGAATCACAGTAATGAGATGAGAGAAAGAGAATGAAAGAAGAAAGGATCGAAGAAAATAAATTATAGGCGGTCGTCATGAAACGAAAGAGGAGAAGTTTGATAAGGAGCGAGAGTGTGAGAATGTGAAAGAGAAAATAACTCGCAGTCTTTTGTTGTTACTTAGGGCGTCGATGGTACAGGTTTATAGGCCGAGTAAGCGAGATCCTGTCCAGCTCTGGCCCAACCACCACCTCCGTGAACTTCGTGGCCATGATCGTGCGAAGAGACTAATTTCTTCAGTCCAATTATCGATGCCAACACCAAGGCCAATTTGCTCACTATCAGAGCTTTACCAGCGAGTAAAGCCAGTGCTCCGAGAGCCAAGGGTACCAAAGTACCACCGATCAACAAGGGAATGGCCAATAGACCACCCATGTTTTTCCTTTTCTTGCCGCGGCCTGTCAACACATCATTCGATTTGTTTATTAGTCGTTTGTGTAATAATCATTCGAATTTTAGTTTGAAATACTGTCAATTGATTTGAGCGTAAATTATGTTCATACGTTACTTGCTTGAATAAAGGAATTTATTATTTTATGAAATAACCAATGAAGAACTATATCAAAGTTTCTTCTATAAAAAATTTAACGAACAACTATGTGCACAAACCTTTTATCCAATACCTGATTTTCAAATCTTACAAACACTCAAATCAATCGTCAATTTTTTCGTAGAGGTAATCCAAATTAAACAAGTCACAGTGTATGTAGAGTATAACTCAAACAAATTTGATGAATATTTTTTAAAGTAAAAAAGTAAATAAAAAGTTGACTGAAATTCGATTTTTAATTATACGGGAACTAATTTTTGAATTTTTTAATAATTTTTGGAAGTGAATTAATAGTTGTTATGAATATGTCTTGTAGTTTAAAATACTTGTCATAGTTACTTGAAATAATTAGTATTAAAGAAGATGACCAAATCATTACTAATGAATAGACGAGAATAAAATAAATTGACATTCACCTTCATCGGAAAGACTCCTCTGGAGTTCCTCAACATTGGGAAGCTTGACCTTGAGAGTGTGGCTTTGAAGAAAGCTCACAGCTTTGTCTATAATCATAGAGTTAAGTGCATCTTCCTTATCTTCCAAGCTTCTTGGCAATGAAGCTTCAATCTCTTGTGGTGTTCTGATTGGTTCCTCGCGTCCTGCTTCGCCAGGCTGAGGTTCGTCCTTCACAAGGGTAATACCGTCGACAATACTGACTTGAGCGCTACGCGATACTCGTTCCATTGTAGACAGAAGCTTGAGCTTGAGGCAGCTGCTCACCTCTGCTCCCGAGCAATCTTTGTAAATCTGATAAACCGACCGCAAATCGCCAAACACACCACCGCCACCCTGAGCGGCACGACCCTGATCCGAATCCAATGAGTTCACTGGATGGCCTGAGTCTGCGGCTGAACGCGCGTTCGCACATCCAGCCAGCAACAGGTTCACGATTAGGAATGATAGACGTTGCATTTTTGGGTTATTTGGTACCTGAAAGTGCATAAATTTTTTGAATAATGACAAGTTAAGTTGAAGACTTATTTGTTTATTTAACAATGAAATTTTATATTGAATTTATAAATGGTACATTTTTAAATTAATGTTACATAGTTATTCAACAGAACTAATTTTACCCTATACATTTAGAAGAATTCCGAGTTTTTCAGGTTATCGAGAATTTGCATAAATTTATTGATGGAAAAGTAGAATTTTAGAACTACTTTATTTCTAAGTATTAGTATTCCGGACATAAATGTTTAGTTATGTAAATATTATGGATACGGTTTCAGATTTCACATTGAATTTTTATGCAGAAAAGTATATTACTACTGTATTTTATTACACGTAACAAGACGATTAAAGACATTCTCGTTTAAATTTTTATGCAAAGTATGTCTCAACATTTTTATGAAAAATAATGTGTTAAATGTAAAATACGTTTTCGTGACTAATTCTCCTCAGCTCGAATAAGTAATAGAAAAATAATTTGTTATCTTTTTAAATAAACTTTACACGTATATTTTACTTTAAAGTTTTTCATTTTTTTTTTATTTAATTCTTATTATTTAATAGCTAACTGAAATATATAAAGTATTAATCTATTACTAAATGAAACAATACGGTAAAGGGTAGAATTAGTTAGAAAATCTGATATCTACAATCAAGCAGAACATTTTTTGATACGATAATAATAAAAATAAAGATAAATTATGGTCTGACTTTTTACGTTAAGAACATTGTTCGGCTTTTTGTGAAATGCTATTGCAACTCAAGGCCTTATGACCTTTCTTGTTACAAATTTGACATATTTCTGTCAATTTCTTTGGATAGTTGTTTTATTCTTCGTTTTATGCTCCAGATCTAAAACTTTATAAATTTTCTAAATCCTTTTCTGTTTTGATTGTGTTTATAATTGCATTATCTGCATTAATATTGGAGGACACATTTAATCGAATTTCGAACTTTAATTCCTTTTTAAAACAGTCAAAGAGATTATTTTTTATAATTGCTTTATAAGCCTCTGTGATTTCGTTATTCGTAGCACGTTTTTTTGCGTCTAAAATTCGTTGATAAAATCTACTTAATCTATTTAAAAATGTTATGTTTTCGTTATAGCGTTGAAATTCACTACCTAATTCCCCGAGTCATTGATTCAATGTCGATGGGGAGCTATCTGCTACAGAAACTTATTAGAGATAAATTAACAGTAATAAAAAATTTTGAAATCGAAATGGAAGTGTTCAAATGCATATAGATTTCACTATAAATTTATAAATAAATGTATTTATCTAATATAGTAAATGCAGAGGAATAGATTCTACAAATATTCAGAAGAAATTACAGAAACGAGAACGTACAACTGTAATTTCAAAACATAAATGAAATAACTTTTGTTGACTAAATAATTAGAAAAAAGAGTATAATACCTTAGTATGGGAACACACTTGAAAATGTCGATTCGATACGAATCAAAGAGGTGCGTCGATCGATTCCTCCCTTCGATCAGCTCGAGAAATATTAAATTAAGATACCACTGTTATGTACGCTATGCGTTCGTCGCACTCGCAGTCTTCTGTGAGAACTGTACGTAGCGCAAGCCCTGCCCTAGCTCTATATATCCGGTCGGCTTGCTCTCTCTCTCTCTCTCTCTCTTCTCTCAAATGCTCTCGTATATACACGTGTACAGAGCGTAGCGCGAGTAGTAGTTCTGCACCCCACCACCACGCACCATTTGGCTGTTTTTTTTCTTCCTGACGCGCTCTGCTCACCAGCCGCCGCAACCACCGGAGCGAGGAAAGCAGCAGCATCCCGCCTAGTTTTCCTACTCCTCCGCCCCGCTTCTTTTTTCCATTTCTTGAGCACTTTGGCTGTCGTTTACGACTTATGCGTGTGCATTCCGAGAGAATTTAATTACGCACGGGTTCCTATTTGGATAGCCTGCACAAATCCTTCATACCGTTTCGTTCGAGCAAAACGATTTTTTGAAGTCTTCAATTAACATTGATTTGGCGGTTGTGCGTTTTACCACACAGTCGAGAAAGTATTTTGCCCGCTCATATTTTTTTCTCAGCTGAACTATATTTTTCAGCATTCCACTTAAAAGTGAAGCGGTTTTTTGTAACGTGATACTCGTCTACTTTCGTAGATCGTACCTTGCCCCCTGTCACAATGTAATGCCTCATTACTACGCAAAATATATGGGTCTGCGCTGAGCGACGACAACAACGGTTTAAATTAACCTGAGTTATTTTTTTCTCTTTTTTTTTCTTTTAGTGAAACCAGCGTTTAAGCGAATTAACTCCGCTATTTCTTTTCTTTCCCTTCAACAAATCTCACCTAAGTAATCTAGATAATTTATACAATGTAATGTCCAAATAACTACGCGAAAGAACTTCCGTTCAGAAAAAAAATAGACCAATAATACTTCGATTCCTTCAATAGATCAATATTAAAAAAAGAGCATCAGCAACAATTCCCACCGCAATCGCTTTACTTTACGGCATACATTGCATTTGGTACCCTACGAGCTGACAAACACGCGAGATAGATCCGCAGCTATATCGCAGCGATCTCCGGCTCAGCAGCACACTTGCCCCCCACTTATACGACTTGGCGCCCGACTTTTAGCTTTACTGATAAGACGCGTTTTCCCTTCTCCCGTGAATCATATTTTTTTTTTAATCCATCTCTCTCCTTTCGGCACTCTCTTTTGTCCGCAGAGTTATCGATCATATACTTCACGCTTCATTGATCGTTGTGTATGCTCTAGTACGATTTCAGTGCCTTTAGAAGTTAGTCGTCACTTGGCTTCACATTTGACGAGCTGTTCTTTCACTAATACCAACGGTTTAAATACCACACTATTTTACAGTGCAATTTCAGAAACTTTAACTTAAATTCAAATTATCAGTTAAATGACATTCTATATCTTTATACCACTGAAAAAATCGTAAGCTCACTATGTAGCAACGCGAGGCTATAAGTTACTCGACAATTGTTTGATCGTGCTTCAGAATAAAAGAGTTGAGGGAAGAGCAAAAAACAAGAAACAAGTGTCATTAAAAAAATGAATCCCTAAGCAATAGGTAGTAATTCCATATTAGTCGAACTATATTGAAAACACAAGCATTCCAACTGAAAAGAAAGTAAATCCTTCATCCCAATCATCATTGTTGCGAATACAAGCAAATGATCAATCAGCATAACTTCACTCTCGACAACGCAAGGCATACATTGCAGCTGCATCATTCGCTGATATTTCCGATGGTCGACGTTATGATACATTGCATCATCATCACTAGGCGTCGTTCAATTTTGTACAGTGCTCCAGTTATATACAATAATACCTCTGCTGGCTTTCGCGCTTGGCTACTGTGAAAGCGTTTTCATGGCGGAAAATTATGGGGCTCACGCTAATATCTCGCCCATTTAGAAAACGTTATCATCCGTGCGGCGTTATAATCATCCTCTTTTTCCTTAGCTGCGTTGCAGTCCACGATCATCAATTATATACGCGCGCACAGGTGCCTTGCGGCCTAGTTCACCTACAGGTCTAAGCAAAGTGTGCCTGTGTGTTCGTGTGTATGTGTGTTTGTATGGCAAGTAACAATCGCTTGTTTCTTGTGACTAATTACTGATCTGATATGCACACTAAATTTGCACGATTTATACCCTGAAGACATTCAATTTGCTGGACGTCTCGTGTCTACATATTTGACATTGCTCACGTCCGACGCGCGAATTACTGGTACAGTTTTAATTGGCGCAACTTCCAGTCTCCAGTCTTCGTTATTCGGACTTTACTTACTTATTTATGTATTTTTATTATCAGATTAAAAAAATTGACACTATAATATTCTATAGGGGTTTACACAAAATTCATTTCTTTCAGTCAATTCACCACATTTTTCCCTAAACTGAGACGATTGATCTCAAGTTGTAGAGAGAAAGTTATGAATAAATAATGAACGATTAGTTTTCGAAATACTCGATCAATTTAATTATGAGCATTAATTAATGATCATAAGTACTGAACGATTTTCTGTAAAAATTTTATTTGCGGTACTTTCTTACAAATACACTGTATCTAAATTGAAGGAACACTGCTTATCTTGTACCGATCGTTCTTTTATTATTGTTTCATTAAATAGAAAAACTCATGTCGTATTAACATCGAATTATTTTTAAATGAGCCATTCTGCCTTATTGCATCATTCACAACATTTTACGAATTTTTTTATAAGAAAGAGATACAAGTCTAAAGAGCTTATACAATTTTTTCCAGCAACCAAATGTGTAAACATAAAAACATTGAATGAAGTTACACATGAAAAATGCTTTTTTTTCTCAAGTGTTGGTTCATCTTAAAAAAAATGCAGTGCTAACTTATCGATGGAAATTTACTACGCCAAAGGGTAGCTAGAGTGAGGGGATTAATTGAATTTTCAACGTAAAGAATTGTCCGTCACGATGCACCTTCAACGGAAGAATGGCTCGAGTAAGCGAGCCATCATCGGATAGAATAGGAAGCATTTGTCGGCTTTAAATCGACATTTCTTCGCAGTCCCACGCTCGAAGACCTTTTTCTCTCTCCCTCTCGGGAAGTATATAGCGAGAGCGCTGCAAAACCTCAACTGGGTCAGAGCAGTGTGTGTGTGCAGCGCGCCAAGTGAAAACGGAAGGCACGCGCGCGAGCGAGATATCGCGCCCGAGTTTTTAAAAGCTGCGAAAAACGCACGTTTTCTCCGCCTAGTTGGGAAGGTTGGCGATCTCGGCGATAGCCGCGACGTTGTTCATTCATCGATCGGTCAATGAAACTTCTGCAACGGTTAGGTCACACCAGTCGTATGGTTATACAAGGATTTATGGATAGGTATATATGTGTGTACCGCTGTATTATCCTTTAATGAATCTTGTTATGCGATAGGCCACAGTTATGCTTGACTATTACGCGTGGAAGTTTCTACGATGAGACTCGTAATGTTCTAGATAAATGTAATACATATCAATTTTTAATATCGAGCGGCTGGAACAGACTGGATTCTTCAATGGTAATATTTCATGGCCACAATCCATTAATGCAAATAAAGATTCGGATTAGTCTGTCAAGATCTAAGTTTCATTTAAATCTCATATGCAGTTGCTTTATGATAACTATTACAGTCAAGCATAGTTATTGGCAATTAAAATTCTTAATGATTCAAATCTCAATATCAATTAACTCTAAAGATTTTTCAAAAATTCTAATCGATGTGACTTCAATTAGTAGATGCTTAGTCTATAGTATAATAACACGCTAAACGTGGTAATATCAAACTATAATTAATTATTACAGACAGCATACAAGAAGCGCACAGTCGCATTTTGTGAATTCAATATAAATTACTTGCCGCATATTGATCGCTTCGTCGATGTAATCGCCCGTTTTGCGAGAAAACGGAAAAAAGTATATGAAGAGCTTTCATTGTGGGAGATATGGATAGCAATGGCAATTAGCGCGTTCTCATCTCAGACTGCAAACTGGAGTGTGACTCGTAAGTACCGGCCTTGAGGAAGAAGAAATAGCCTAAACAATTTTAAACTTTCTTTGTTTTCCGGTGCTCTGCGCGATTTTCATAACTAAGCTGCAAGAAAAGAAAAAAAAAAAAAAAAAAAAAAAAAATATATATATATATATATATATATTGTCAACGTGAGTTCATATTGCAGCTCGTAAAAGTTTTATGTCGTACTTTAACAACAGTATATAAAAGTCACAATCACATTAGCATCTATAAATTGATATTTTCATTGATAATTACACGCGTTTATTGCAGCGACTCACGCATGGATATAGGTTTATAGTTGTACACGTAGGGCTCTGAGTAAACTCGCGTTCAAGTTTCATTCGATTAACATTCAAATCACTATTCTCGCTGTGTGATTAGTTTGTTTTTTTTTTGCACGACTGAAAGTTAAAATCGTGAATTCTTGCGGAGAAAGAGTAATAGTCATTGTTATTGACCATTTTTAGTTGTAGCCACGAGGAATATTTCTCTCTTCTTTCTGTTGTTGCTTATACTCTTCTTGCTCATTGGTTTAGAGCAACTGAAATAAAAATAAAAGAAATAATCCCGCGTATAACAAAGAAATATAACCGATTTTTTTGTATCGATTGTCAAGGAAAAGATTGGCTAATAGGTGAAATAATTACTCAATAAACTTCGTTAACAAAATTAAATTTGAATATTTTGATAAAATCAATATTTTGATCTAAATTTTCCTTAAATATATGAATACAGTTGAATAACAATCACTTATGCATTGAAACAACATAAATATATCTGTTCGAAGTATATCTATGAGTTAACAGTTCAGAAAATTGACACGGTATACCCAATCTCATAAATTGGAATGTTTTAAATAAGTATGAAACCGAATATCACGCAAGCGGCAGCACAAATTTCATTAACGGAGCAGATCATCGTCTCTCTCTGTCTTTCTCTTGACGCGCGTGCGTTTAAAACGCGTTTTCCCGCTGCCGGAACTCGGGCAGTCGGCGTGTTACCGATTTCTCGCGTGGCGCGCGTATATACGTATACGTACGCGAAAAAGATCGGCGAAAGCGACTTGCTTACGTCTATGCTCTCGCACGAGAGAGAGCTTCCGGCTCGCGGTCACGCTCCCGAAACATCCGGCACCACGTCGAATACGTCTCTACGTATTCGCGGGATGACGAAAGAGATGTCAATGTATGAGCGATCTGGATTGTTTGTCGATCGATTGATGTTCGCTACGTTTCCAGCCTTTGCATTAAATGGGACTATGAAATTCAGCAGTGCACTGCAAGGAAATTTTACCGTTGTTATCATATTTTTGTATGATTATAATCGCTTCTATAGAAAATAAGACTTGCTACGACATTTGCTCTTTAGGGAATTCATAATTTACATGGTGGACATATTCAATAACACAACGATTCACATAGATTTTTAGTAAAATAATCGATAATCTAAAATGTCAGGATGTACATTAGAACTAAATATTAGTAATAAAGAGCAGCTATGATTTGACAATTATGAAAATTCAATGTTTCAATGTTATAGTTTTACTCAATTTCAGGCAAGCGGCATAACCTACTAAGAATCAGAATTATATTTGATTTCGTTCGAAAAACTTTCATAATTATAATCTTCGTACTTGGAAAAAAATTGCTTGTTTCACCGTAGTAATTAACATGTTATGATAATTAGATGGTCAAAATACTTTGTAATTTTATATTACATTTTTATGCAATTATCCAACTATTTATATCAAAATTCATTAGGCTTTGAAAACGTATCTTATTTTAGACCATGGTAGAGTCGAAGAGGAATGGATAACAAAATGAATATTATAGACATTTTTTTTCCTCTATCCATTTTATAATTAGCAATAACCTTAACAATTTAATTGATATGAAATATTTTTATGATTTATAGTTTCCGCAGAGAGCAACTTGTCGAGATAAATTATTCTTTAAAGATCGTAATACGTTTATGGCTGATGGCGCAGCCTCTAAGAAATTTAAATTACACCTCATAGATATAATCCGATTACCGATCATTTCTAATAATTTTATATCCGTGTATTCGTAAAAAGTAGAATAACCGCATAAAAATAATAACAATTAAATTCTCTCGTACAAAAACTACCGGCGAGTTATTACTCAACGCGATGTATAGAAGAAAAGTCATTTGCATTGCACAAGATCGCACGCCAAAGGTGATTTTCTATTCGAGAGCTCGTAAAAACGTTCGCCTTTATCGTAGCGTGTAATCAGAGTCAGAGAGGCGCCAACGCGTATCGCCACAATAAATTCATCTAAGTGAAAATATCCAAAATAGGATCGAAAGAATCTATTATAAGAATCATTATTATATCTTCCTTTACATGAATCTCTCAAGTTTGTATTATAAGTTCTGCTGTATATATGGACGTGTGCATGTATGTTTGTGTGTGTGTGTGTGTGTGTGTGTGTGTGTGTGTGTGTGTGTGTGTGTGTGTGTGTGTGTGTGTCTATACCTTCGATTTCATACGCGAGCTTTTCAGGTCAAGACATTTCCTTCTGATTCATGGACTTTCCAAAGAAAATTGACGCTAATTATATGCATACGCAAGATGCTCGTCGAGACTTACACTTCCTTTTTTTCGTTCGACTCGTCTCTCTCTCTCTCTCTCTCTCTCTCTTTCTCTCTCTCTCTTTGTGCAGTGCGGCAGTTATTGTTGGGATGCATTTCCATTTCTTTTGAACCATCAATACGCATGAAAAATAACAAGTCATAGCGGTGACTTTACTGCCTACAAGTACTCACAGACAGCGTGCATAATCTTTGTAAGCTTGCAAAGCTAATAATTTTGTGCCATTGTTTTTGTTGAAATCTTTAAAGATACTAAAAAAAGAATTCTGCCGTGTTAATGGAGGCTAAATATATTAAGTGGATATATCTAGTAATAAATATTTTATATTAGACAAATTTATACCGAATAACTTAGTTGTTTCATTTATAATTTTAGTATTGTAGTTAATCGGATCAAAGGAATATGTGTATTATTTTTAAAATCGTTCTTCCAGGTTATTTTAATTACTTATATCATAGACTTTCAGGTAGTTATCATTAAATCCGCAATTTGAGGATCATCTCTTAATAAAATACGATAGACGTAAAAATGGTTAAACAGTATATTTAAACTTGTTTAAACGACAACAACGCTTTCGTGGCTAGACCGTCGGACTAAACTCCGAACCTTCTTGAACGTTTGATGCAACTGAATATCAGGCGTTGAACGTTTTCGTGTTTATATCCATAACATTCGATTTAATATAAAATATTTTTACGGCTCAATATTTTTTTCACTAATTCGCTCAAAAATAATGATGTCATTCGTGAATACCGAACACGTATAGATAACAATATCCTTCAAACACGATTTTATTGTTATATTTTAAAAAGAGTAAAATGTTTCTGTAATATTATATCAGAAAATCTACATATAGCTTAAACTTCCATGAAATTATTGATGACTTACACATTTTATACTTAATTTTACTAGTAATCAATTTTTTAAGAGGCAATCAATTTATTGAAAATGCTGATAATAACCAATTATTAAAACAAAAAGGATATACTTTAGTCAAATTTTTACAACTCAAAAAAACCGCTACACATGAGCACCCATCAAATCTTTTTATTTCTTTGAAAAGCAAGAATATTCGTCAAGCATAAAAAAATCGAACGTTCACAACATAACGCAACGATGTAAAAAGTGCATAAACCTCAATAGAGAACACACCCACTCGTCGATATAGGTGAAAAAAAGAAAGAATCCGACTACCAAATAAAAAAAAAAGACAAAAAGAAAGAAAGAAAAAGGAAAGAGATGAAGAATAAAGGTTGTAGAGGGTTCCGCCATCGTCGTCTCGGTTGCTGAACAGTAAACAAATTCATGAAAATCGATCGGCGATGCCAGTGGCACTTTCACATTTCCAAACGAACGGAACCTCATATGTGGATCACTGGATCGACTCGGGCCCCGGAACACGGAAATGCCGACGACAATGACGACAGGTGTTTACATGTATGTATCGATAGGTGCTTAAGATGATTACAGCGGGAATTCATTATCGGCCTTAATATCTTTCTTGGTGAGCGCGGATAATCTGTAATTAATATATGGAGGTGAAAGAAAGGCGCACACATGTCCGCGCTCGCATCTATCTTCCTCGCTCGAAAGATCCGGATGCTGAGCGACGGAGAGATCGTACACGCGCAGCACGCAACAGCGCGTCAACCCGATTTCTTACCGAGATTTGCCCACGCCATTTCTATCTCTGTGTGGAGAACCTATATAGAGAAAGACGGACATAATTTGGATTGAAGGGAGAGGGGGCAGAGAGAGATGCGCAATAGGTGTGTGCGAACGCAAACAGGGGGTCACTTTCTATTCTTCCTGCGTGTATGCGTGCGTGTATGCCGGTTGATTGCTTTTCTAAACCATCATTTTTTTCCTTATCTTCTGTGGTTGCCTCTTTAAGACGCTAAATTTGTCCAATTTATTATTTACCGTTTTTTTTTTTTATTTTTTGTTAATTATTGAAATGTAATTTTCATGTCTAATTACTAATCATTTGTTTTTGAATTTAAGTTTTTGATAATTTGAATAATTCTCCAAAAAAGTTATTTCAAACAAAGCATAATTAATCACTGAATTTGAAGAAAACGCTGATTAAAAATTTAGAATGAACTTCGTTAAAGAACATACACGAATTTATCTGAATACGTACCTGTAAGCAACCACCTGGCGCCACAAAAAAGACAAGGTGAAATAGGATTGCAAGTAGGGTACAAATGAAAAAAAGTAAAAAGAGTTAAAAGAGAAAATAAGAAATAAAAAAAGCGTTGGCATAACTAACTGTACACAGTCGGGCGTATTTTTTTTCTTTGGGACAAGACGCACGCGCCGTTCGCCTTTCTTTATTATACAAATATATAATATATTTATAAAAAAACAAGCATTACTTATGAACACATATCAGTCGTGGTAGATACATATAAAAAAATATAATATATATCTCGTCGCGTCGCATTGTCGTTCGTCAAAGTGTATACAAACAAAATTTACAAAGTTTGATTAGCGTCTAAGTAGTACAATTAGAAAAGATAAAGTAGTCGATGTACAAAAATAATACAAAAAAGTAGTAAAGATATTACGCTACAAGTAAATACAAAGTGTATTAATAATAGATGATAAGTCGAGTATTCGCATCAGGCACTGGTGTCCTTACATTGTATACTGGCTAAACAATTAACGATAGTGGTAAGAGTAAAGTCATAAAAAATATAGTAAGAGCAATCAAGAACGCTATCAATGAGAGATCCAGAATAGAAGTTGCGCATGACAATGTACAATTGTGAAAGGAACGCATGGACCGAAGAAAGTGGCCATTAGAAAACAATGAAAGAAAAGAGAAAAAGATAGTTTAGAAAGGATGATTAGAATAAAAAATTAAATATATCACGACAGAGAGAGATACAGGAAGATTGGAAAAAAAAGAAAGAGGGCGAGGAAGAGAGGAAGAGCGAGAGAGAGAGAGAGAGAGAGAGAGAGAGAGAGAGAGAGAGAAAGGACGAGAATAGAGAAAGTGAAATGGAGCTTCGAAGGGAGCAAGTGAAAGTCGTATAGAGAAGAAGAAAAGAATGAGGACAAATAAATACTCGCATAAATAAATAACTGTCCTTGCGAAGAAAAGACAAAGATTTTGTCGTGTGAAAAATCTCGCCCTGAAGAATATGTTTCATATTCTTTAGTGCGAATATGAATTCATTGGTATCACAAGCGATGGAGAAAAAAGAAAGAGAAAAATTAATAAACCCTCCACATCGATGACCACTCTACTTTTCAACGAAACGATAAGAGAGAGGGCGCAGAGAGTAATTGCCAGTAAATACGCATTAAATATAAATAATTCAATAAATTAGAGATTGGAAGAGCTTAAGAAAACATCCTATCGAGTCATTTCCTATTGCTGGGGGATAGACGCTGGTTTCTGCGCGGCGTACGCCATCTCCTGAGCGATCGGTAGACTTCTGGCCCAGCCGCCGCTTGAACCATGACCACCAGAACTACCACCACCACCGTAACCACCAAAGTCACTGCTACCTCCGTGCTCATCATGAGTTACAACGTGGCTGCTGCTGTGGTGTGGGTGTGACACTACTTCGTAAGTGACGTGTTTCTGCTGACCACCCAACAGTTTCTTCAGACCGATGATAGTTGAGATTACCAAGGCGATCTTGCCGACTAACAGGGCTTTACCGGCAATCAAAGCAATGAAACCAAGTGCTAAGGGGAGAAGAGCGGCAGCTTTTAACGCCACTGCCATGATGATTGGCCCGATAATTTTGGCGGCCTTCTCTGTAAAAATTTTTATGCTTGTTAGTTTCAAAAACAAGAATTTCATTCACGAAAGAAAGATTGAGATTGATAATGGTTTTAATGGTCACTATATTATAGAATCAACGAAAACTTGCTATTTTTCACGTGAAAATTATATTAGAATTAAAGATAACATTAAATTGCTACGGTCAGAGCTAATATAATTTAATTGATAAAATGCAATTACTAAATTTGATAATTTAAACTTTACAGCTAAAATTATTTGCATATAAATAATCTAAATCTTTTTTAAAAAGAGCTTCTTTGAAGAGTTTCTTCTATTTCAATTACTGCAAAATTATATACTTAAAATATATCAATGATATTTTCGTAACAGTTGAGAAATGTGAAGTTGTTTATGAGCTTTACAGATAAAATAATAACTGCAAATGATCAAAGTGCATTTACAAAAAACGACAATGACTCAAAAATGAGGTGACATCGTATAAAAATTACGAAAGAGAAGAACTGCTGAATTAATAAGTAAATCATAACTAACGACATTGCTCGTTAATTCAATGCCGCACAAAAAAACACGATTAAGGCTAAAGCCTGTCTTTGTATCGCTGCTTGAGAATCACTTTTATTTTATGCATCGTAACAGTGGCAGAAAAGGTGCTTGTTTGCAATTACAGCAGCAGCGTAGTGTCCACGAGAGAGAAAGAGAGGGCTCAGCTCATTATCTCTGGTAATTGGTCAATTTCACGTGATTCTTGTCGTCGTGCGTTGCTCCCGATCTCTTCGTAAGGAAGTGTGTCAAAAAATCCCGCTTCTTCCTTGATATCCCACACCCAATGGATTTCTCTTTCTCTCATTTTTTTTCCTATACATATATACCTATAAGCTCACTGGGAGGTGCGACGACCTAATTTTATATAAAACTCGATTGATTAATTGGTTAACGGAAATTTGATTGCATTGTGAGGTGCCGATTTACGTGATCCTTCATTTAATGGACAAGGGTGGAGTCTTTGGAAAAACATGTCGGTCAAAAAGTGATTTTTTGCGTGGGGATTGTTTAAATGAACAGTTATAAATGCAGGAACTGGATATTACTCTTTTTCCGCTGCTTACTTGCAATTATGTTAATGTTCGTGCAATAAATGTCTTTTTGCAATACGTTGTGTCAGTTGAACACACATTCAATTCTGTATTGTGTGATAATTGATAATCTATTCGATTATTTTTAATGAGACATACTATGAGAAATGGTACTTTAGCGTGGAAAACTCTTTTTAGCCTACTTCTTGTATTTGCTTTTCATTAAATCACTTTTCCTTCATGAGAACAGAATTTTCCTACGTTGACGATGATTTATTATATTATTATTAACGCATGCTTATTTTAAATCATTATACCTGAGAGAATATACACTTCCTCCGTGTGATTTATTGAAATTATAAACAATGAATTTAATTTACATTTGTTTTTTGAAAATTAACTAATGTAATTAATTGAAACATTGCATAAAGATAAATTTCCCTTCATTGAAACTGAATCGTTTACTTTTAAATTGAAATTTCGTCGATTGAATAAAAATAAAAATAAAAACACTATTCATCATCATTTCAATTAAAAGAATTAAATTAGTTCAAACGTACATCCGCTCCGGTCTGAATATAAGCGCAAAGTCACATCTCTCGACATGAAATTTCATCAAGAGAATTTTTTTACTTCGTCTCGATCAGCGAGTAGTAACAATGCCGATCACCTTAAATCCCACCTTATATATCCATCCGGGAGATATCGTTGCCCTTCTCCTCAAGTTCAAGGGGAATATCCTGTGTGCGTGTAGATACATTCGCAGCGATGGTGTGGGCAAAAACCAGTTTCCTCAGTGGGTCAACAACACAACAAAGACAAGTATATGCCGCGCCTTACTCATGCGTGCGTTTTAGATAAACACCACGTGGCTTATACGTCGTCGCAGTTAGGTAATTACCGCTCTTTGCATTCTTGCAGTAAACGTATAAATATATATGTGCATCGGATCGTGATCTATTCGCATATTTACAAGCGTTTTATTATTATTATTATTATTATTATTATTATTATTATTATTATTATTATTATTATTATTATTATTATTATTTTCATTTCATAACGGTCGAAAGTTGCGACGAGGTGGATAAATTACGAAAAATTGTGCTTACACGGTTTCCTCTCAGATACACAAACCGTTATTCAAATATAAAGAAACAGAAAAAGAAGAGCCTGTGCACGCGTGGTAACGTATCACCTGTGCGTCACTGTAACTGTAACGCGTTTATCTCGTTTGAGAAGAATTAATGGTTTGATCCGAGAGACGTTAAATGGACGACAATTAGCCAACCGGTTCTTTTTTCCCTTTTTCCTAATTAAAATGAGAAAAGGAAAACTTACTCTTCTTGCCACGTCCCTCGATGGAAGTTTCATTGCTATCGTCAAAGCTGCGTCCTGCAGATTCGATAGCACCAAGGATGTCCGTGCCCTTAAGGTCTACTTTAACTGAGCGAGTTCTCAGGAATCTTCCAAGACGATCGAACAAGAGCGTGTCTAGATCGCTCGACTCTATGGACCTACATATATGACCAACAAGATATGCGTGATAGAACAATCGTGTGATTTATCATAGATGTAGATGTACGTGCTAATTTCGTTGTTTGTGTTGTGAGAAATAGCTCGGTTTTGATTGACGTTTATGAGGTGTAAAAAACTGATGGATGTAACAGACACCGTTTTCACCAGTATGGAATGAATTTTGATCGAGTGTCTTTGAATTAAAATCAATTTGAATCTTAGGTCTCAATTCGATTGATATTTTAGGAAATCAGTGCTACGAATACGATATACGAAATCCTACATGTCGTTCATTGTAGACTCTAATCATAAGTGAATCGACATTGTAATCATGCTGGTGCTCAGTAGTAATGTTTGTTTAAAATGAACTTCAGGTGATTGCAAGCTAGTTAAGTTAATCGTTGAAAAAATAAAATAATTATCGAGCTCACAACGAAGTTCATTAAAAAACTTACCTAGGCGCACCCTCCTCAATGTTTGAAGTCTTAACGACAGTGATACCCTCGCTGAGGCTGATATCTTCTTTATCGGCGAGCATTTTGTCAACGAACGAGAAGACCTTGTACTTGATGCAACTGAGCGATTCCTTCTTGAGGCAATCGGCGTAAATCGATGCCATGAGATCATTCTCGCTCCCGGTCTTGTCACTTGCCGGCAATGCTACTGCTACGGCAAATAATGCCGTGGCGCACAGGATGAACGCCTTCCCGAACATCGCTGCGTGTGTATATCTGCGTGCGTCAACAACAACGATTGCAATTAGAAAAACTATCGCGCGAAGAATGAAAAGCCCTCTCTCGCTGGTTTACCGTTGCTGTGTTGTTGTTACTTGTGGAAAAGAAAACGATATACAACTGCAAGTGTTGGTGATGGTGCGCGTCTGGTGGCCTGGCTGTGTATGTTGCACCTAAATGAGGCCCGCTTTGCTTTTATATACCGAGTGGGCCGTGTAAAAGGGGTATTTCTTGGGCTCCTCTCTCTCTCTCTTTCTCTCTCTCTCTTACTCGCAAAGCCAACACTCTATATACTCTCATTCCTCTCTCACTCACTTACCGGTGTATCTCTGTGTGTGTATGGATGTGCCCCACCATCCAGCTGCATATACCAACCACGGCTTCTGCTTGCTGTCGCTGCTATACACCTGACCTGTCTCCTTGCTGCTTTTGCGATTAGGTGGTAGAAGCAGGTATGCTCACGCGAGCATGAGTGTATTATAAACCTGTTGCCACACACATACAAATACATACGTAACGTTTATGCTCTGGATTTTATAATTGCGGGTGGGCAATGTCTTTACCTTGCCTCTTTTCTATTTACGGTATGGTACACGTGCTGCGTGTAATTCGGGTCGTCAAGGATAATTTTTTTATTTTTCTTTGGGGGACAGGGATTACAGGCTTTTACTTTCCGCTCCCGTCTGTGCGTATTCGTGTTAATTAATCTTCTGGTACCTCGGATCTCTGTACACAGAGCTGAAGGTGTATTTTAGTGACACTGAAAGGAAATCAAAATACGCGTGTAATTTTTTGTGTTGCTCCATATATTATCTTTCCAACGTGAAATAATATTCTTAGGCGGTACCACAGATTTTGTGTAGCTTTCCAATAATAACTATATACATGTTGCGCACCAGGAAATCAAATTACGATAGTTTAACAATAATTTTAATGATTTTTAATTTGTTAGTTAAGCAACAACTTGCGAGAGAAAAGCACAGTTTCCTGAAAGTGGCGCTCTTTTTTTCTCGATACAGACCAAATGTAAACAGAAACATTTGGGAGATTAACTGTACACGCACGCAGGAATATGATACCCATAAAACCAAGACAACTTGCTCTCGAGAGAGAATTCTTCGTGCCGTCAATGTAGCCGCGGCTACGCACACGCACGTATTACAATTTTTTCTTTCTCTTTCTCTTTATGCAGTGTGCAGCAGAGAAAGTATAGTGAGACGAAGAAAAAATTGGATCATTTTGGGGAGGGCGGTATACCAAAAATCGATCTCTCTCTCTCTCTCTCTCTCTCTCTCTCTCTCTCTCTCTCTCAAGAGACCTACTTGTAAATTTTAAAAGATCAAGCAGGTTGCATTTTGCGCTTTTGGCTTCCGAGGGAAACGTTATAATCAGATGAGAGAAGGATATGCAAGAGGAAAATTTGAAGAGAAAATAGATAGTCGACGACTGTTTTTTTTATTTTTTTATTTTTAGATACTGGAAAAAAGAAGATTAAGTATACCACAAGCGATAGAAAATTAAATCTACGAATTGAGTTGTAAATTAAAGCTGAAATTGATGAGCGGACCCGGTGATAGTTATTATCTGACGACCCACTGTAATCTATGTCTGCGTCGATACAGTGATGCCCGATAGCTCTTCTTTTTTTATAGTCCAGTTTCTGAGCAAAAATTCTTATTTTACCATCCAATTTTTATCGCTGTAAATAAACAACTTGCAAACTTTTTTTATAACAAAATTACTATTAAAATAAAAATATTTCTAGAAGTAGAACTAGAACAAGAAATATATTTAAATTATCAAGTATTCAAAAGTTATGCTAATTTCGCGCCCACTTTCCTTCTGAAGTATATGTTTGCCAGACACGAACAAAGAAAAACAACCTAATCGTCTTGCTCACTTTTCGTAGAACAATTTCAACAATTCTCTTGTCAATGTTAGTAAAATGTCACACCAAACTCTAAATAGACACATGTTACCTGTCAGAATTTGAGTTCATAATCACCTCATAAATTCACATTTAATAGTCATATTAGGTGTTAAAATATTCGGTATAGAGAAAGACACACGACAAGTGAATACATCTGAATATTTAAATACCTCAGAAGTTCCCATGTATATCATAGTGATCACGGCAGAAATTTTATCGCTCGTAACTTTAAAGCACGCAATTTTCTCATCCGCAGGCATGCACGTGCAAAAAATTGAGTAGAACAAACAATTCACTGCGCCAATGATGTATGCGCGAAACTTTTCAACAGTTTATATATAGCGATAGGCTGTGGTATTAAAAAAAAAGAGCTACAGTTTCTAGGTTATAGGATGCACTGATTTCCATGCTTAGAAATTTTTGCCATCCTTATCTGTCGGAATGGAAATCAAGAGTTTTCGCGAGGCGGCGAAAATCGATGCAATCTTTCGGGCTCCCCCCTCTCCCCGTCCCCAGGCGTTAAATGCTATAACCTGTTTTTCTAAGTAAATTCACGATATATTTATCACTTATGAATTTTTTGCATTTTATTACCAATCGCTCGTTATTTTCTGTACTGTTAGAGTCGCGTGAGGAAGTATCCACGCGACGAAAGTTATGAATATTGTGGAAACCAAGAAACTCAGCGTGTGTTATTTATTTGATACTTTTTGTACCCTACTTCGCGCATTCCAATACACACGTACGCCTTTGTCGTGTTCTAGAATTTCAGTGTCATTGTCTTCTTAGACAATTAGATGATAAAAAATCAAATCAGAAAGACTCGACGATTTTCATTCGAAAATTTAATACCTCAATTGCAACTGTCACTCACTTTCGAAATGTAATATACAATCAATTAAACGATTCAGATAGAAAGAAAAATAATTGTTCGAACAAAAGCTCGAGATTCAAGTCAATGGGAATCGCTTTCGAATCGGTTTACTTGTGCGTGGCAATTAATCAATGCCCGCAGCTGGCACGCGCTCACCGAAATCAAAGAGAGAGATGACTCCAAGTGCTTTTGAAAATGTCCGATATGCAATATGGCGAGAATAAAAAAAGCAGACATCTTTCCAAACCGGACCACTCACCCATTTTACAACTGGGTCGCGCATATGCGAGAAAGACTTGACCAGTTGTGCAGTCGTCTCCTGGGATGTGTGTGATGCGTTCTCTTCAATTCGACTTGGGAATCCTTTCTCATAATGGCTAGCTGCGAGTTCACGGGGTTGATTGCATCGTGACTCACGCCAACTTAATGCATTTATAAACTGAAGCTGCGAGATTAATTTTTTTTCTTGTCGAGATTCAAGTGGAAAAGTATGCAGGATATTGAGCAGAAACCCAGACGGAGAGAGTGAGAATGCTGGATGCGCGAGCCGATTTGCGGTCCCACGTTACCGAAAAATGCAGTTTCGTGTGCGCCACAAGTGAGGTAACGGTTATAGCTTTATGACTTCGTATTAAGTATCACGTGCTCGCACGTGGACTGCTGCTCGGTAAGAATTTTTTTTGCTACAAACAGTCTGCTACGCGCGGCTTCGCATTTCATCCTGACAAATTATTATAACTTCGTAATTCGATATACAGAGTATTGTTTCGTCAGGTGGAATTTGTAATAATTCGATAGTTAATCCATTTAGCAAACAAATTGCAACGAAAAATAGATATACATAATGAACTACGTGCGAAATTTCCTCGGTACGTGCTTTTTGTAACTTTCAAGCCTAATATTGCCTTTTGACCCGTTTTACCTACATTTCCATCCATAATTTTGCTTTCTTCCATTGATGATTTTTCGTTCTTATTTTATGCCTTGTATACAGTCCATCACAAATTGAAATCGAAAATACCACATATGAAAACACGCACTGCCTATTAGGCATGATTTTGATGTTACTATGTATAGCCGTTTATATTCATTTCTATGATTTTAAGCCTTGGCTATGTCGCTGCACGTGATATGTTTTGAAATGTATTGAAATAACGTAAAACTTTTGAGTTTGATTGAGTGGAATTCTCTATATATATGTATTTATAACATTTTTATATATAAATCATTATCAAGTGAAAAAAAATCTGGATATATTTTGCTTGGGTATCAACTTAATTTTCAAATATATATATATATATATATATATATATATATATGCAGTGATATTTTGTTAGAGTATCCTTCAAATAATTTAATTTCAGTGTTTTCGAGTTCTTTTTATTTGTATATTTTTGGATTAATTTTACATGGAAATTGGTATTTTTAAAGTCAAATATATATTCGAATGCGTGATATATTTATCACAATTTACAACTGAAAAAATTTAAAAATTACAATATGACATCTTATAAAATAAGACTACTTGTCTCCCAGGCTTATCAGAAAAATACAGTATCGACCTATTAAAATTTTTGCATATATTCACGCTTGCAGGTGCTTGCAATGCATCATTCATCGGTGAATAAAGGACCAATTGGTTAGAAAGCACATTGCTCGAATGGTGTTACACGATAACAGCTGACTCGATCTTCGCCCTACCTTCTAAAGTGAAAAATCGCGAGCAGCGGCTCTTTTAAAGTTTGCATTCATTTTTTTTAACTTTCTTGAGGTCAATTTGTCGCTCGATGACATAGATAATATGTTAGGCGCTACTTAAGAAGTTATACGGATGAATCAGTGGTCCAGTCAATACGTTCTTTTTTTCACTTGAGTTGATCCTTAACGGCTTTAGCTATTTTTCTCAATACTGAGTATATCTTCTGTTACCAAAACAATTTATTGTTTATTTTAATAATTGCTAATTGTGATTGATAGCCGATTTATTAATAAATATGTAACAATAAGTTGAAATTGTATCGTTTTAAATGAAAGATCAATATAAATAAATATTGATAAAGTTCATTTGCGAACGTTGCCGAGCATGAACGAGGAATTTTGCTATAGCTAAAACGTATACAATAATCGAGCGAGATGGTGATTATTGATATTGAGTTTCAATTTATTGGTTAGTTATC